TTTAATAAATTTAATAAATTAGTATTTTTGTATATAATATAATGCAATATAGGTTATATATTTTTTATATTTTTCTTTTTTTTTTATCTTCTTTCATCTCTGTATTTATTTTTTAGTATTAGTTCTTATTATTTTGTTTTTTTCTTTAATATTAGTATTAGTGTTAGTATTTTTTTTCGTTTTTTCTACTTCTCTATAAGAAGATATTATTAGATTGATGATATCCTATTGTGAAGAAGTGGTCTGATAGTGCTTTCTAAAATAGATATAGTTTCTATTTTGAAACTTATTGAAATATATTCAAATAAATATATCTGCTCAGTGTGGTTAGTCATTTGTAAGTACTTTTTGAAGTAACTACAAGCTATCAAATTATAAATTATGTAGTATTTTGTTTGTACTCATTCTAACCAATTGACTACTAGTAATAAAGGATATTGGCAAAATAGCCAAAGTAAAAAAAAAAATAATAATAATAATTATAGTGATTAAAGAATAAGGTAATCAAAAAATAGAAACTTGTATAAAGACTTTTTATTTACTTAGTATATTATCTAATTAATTAACTATATATAAAATTATTTATTAGTAAGTATAAAATTTTTATAAATTAAAATATAAACTTATAATATTTTTTAATATATTTGTTTTTTAATAATTAGTTTAAATTAAATACTAATAAATTGTGTTTTATATTTATTTAAATAATTAAAATTAGTTTAAACTTTTTTAATTTTATATATTAACTATTAGCTAACTATTTAATTATAGTATTTTTTTTATAATTTGGCTGCCTGCTATTGTTTATTGAGATCATAACTATTTGACAAATTATAAGAATTTCTCTTCTAGCTAAATTGATCTACTAGATCTATGGCTCACCAAGCTTTCGCCCAATGTGGCTTGCCTCAGTAGTCATTGGCCTCAATCTGGGTCCAAAACTTACTTCAGACTTTTTTCTCTTCAATCCTCGGCTAGTGACTACAAGCCACTCGTTTTGATATTGACTTGTCTTTTTAGTAATTAGAACACATACACAAAATTAAGAGGCAAAATAAAACAAAAAAAAAATATATATCAACCTAACTAAGACAAATAAAACCAAAAACAAAAATAAAAAAAAACAAAACAAAATAAAAATAAAAAAAAGAAAACAAAAAACAGTATTATTAAGCCTGTGCCAGACTGTAAAAATTATATAGTGCTACTAAAAACTAGTTTAAACTTTACACTAGTTATTTATACTTATATTAGGATATATACAATATCCATTCTTGAGTAGAGATCCAAGTTTGAAATTTCTTGTAGTCCTAATGAATCTTCATCCAGCATTCTGCAATGTCATTCCTGAGCAAAGTTAATGTACTAAAGCACTCAGTATAAATACTGCAACCTCTTGAGATGACACGATCATACATTATTCATCCCAAAGTATACACATATCCATGTATGTGTATTTTCTTTTTGATAGCGATTATTGTTGTCAATCTTTTGATGGAGTCCACCAGATTTTCCACTTTTTGGTGAAATTTCATAAAGAACAAAGAGTGGAGTGTTGTAAAGGTAGTCTTAAACTTCGATAAGGAGTGTGTTTAAAACTTGCTTGTTGTTCTTCTTTAGCCCAACTATCTTTCACTTTGTTAGCAGAAGCTGTGCTTCTATTAAAATTTTTTGTACAAGAGTGCCACCTTCTGCCAGTTATCTTGTACAAGAATACTTTTAACTTGCTTGCTAAATATACCTAGAAGTCTAGAAAATAGAGAAGACCCTTGACCTCTGTAAAAACCATTACTTGTATAGTTGTCTCTTCTACTTTTCTCCAACAAGTTTCCATTTTCATTGATCATAAGTTTGGTACGAGTGATTGTTAGGGAGAGTTGATTTAATTATAGTATTAATAAAGTATAAAATTGTTTTATACTATATATAATATTTAATAAATATTTAATGAATAGTTGAATATTTATTTAAAATTTTTTAATAAATATTTGAATATTAAAAGTATTAAACAAATAAATATTCAAATATAAATTTTTTGACCAGATAAGACTTCTACTCAAGTATATTTTTTTCAAGTAATATTATCAATAATTTGTACTACTTCTCTACCTAGATCTTGCTAAATAGATATTTATTTTTCTAGTATATAATTATAAAACCTATCTCAGGTTTGCACTATTCTAATCAGCTTGTATACCTTTGTATAACTTATATATTACATGAATATCACATAATTTTTCAAATTTGTTAATACTATCAAGGTTACAGAAATCTTATTCTAACTAATTATCAAAAGTCAATAATTATTGTATAAGTAGAATTTTCAAATTATTGTTGCCAATGAGTTTAAACCCCAACCTTGTCAATATACTGCTTGGAGATACAATAACTTAATCACTTCACTAAGTTACTACACTTTATTAATTGCTGATCTGGATAAGATCAGCATAATTTTTATATTAGAATTTGGGCCAAAATTTCTATGATATTAACTATATGCTGGAATCTGAGTGGAGTCCAATGATAAGTAATTTTTTTATTAAGTTAACAACCAAAGCAATTAATTGAAAGTTGTAAAGCTCACTGAGATGCATCTAATGGTGGTTAGATCATCGAAATTGGTTTAGTGAATACCGAGATATCACTAAAAAACGATTTGCCGACTATATAAAATTCTATAAAAATTTTATATAGTCAGCAAATCGTTTTTTTAGTGATATCTCGATATCCACTGGGCCAATTTCGATGATCTAACCACCATTAGATGCGTCTCAGTGTGCTTTACAACTTTCAATTAATTGACTTTGGTTGTTAATAAAAAAAATTACTTATCATTAGACTCCGCTCAGAGTCCAGCATATAATCAAGATTCTTATTCCCAAAATTTACCATCGCTATTATCCCAATATAATAATTCTGCCGATCATCAATTAAACAGATTAATATATTAAATATCTAAACAAATATTACTTTAAATATAATAAACTATTGTTTAAATATGAGTGCGTGAGAATAAAAACCTGGAACTGATTATAATGATTTACTATGATCAGTTACAGGTTTTCATTCTCACGCACTCATATCTAAAATAAATAAACTATACTACGTATAAACTATATAAAAATAATAAAATATATAATAAGAATTTAAAAATATATAGAAAAATTATAAGAAAACATAAGAAAAATATAAAAAATATATAACCTATATTGCATTATATTATATACAAAAATACTAATTTATTAAATTTATTAAATTTGATTTGTGTCACTATTAGATGCTTAGCTTAATCAAGTACTTGATTATCAAGTTTTTACTTAAACACTAGATCTAATATTTATAATTCTTCAATAATAAATTAAATCATAATTCGGGCCAGCTAACCCAGAAAATTTTTATAATTCTGGCCAAAATAATTACCATGATCTGATATTTGTCATAATTCCTTACAAAAAATATTTATCAAATTTGACTAGATAATAAGTAAGTTTTATCACTTTGATGGTGACTATATATGATATAATGCATATTCACAAGATTATAACGAACATACATGTCCAGATATGTAATGCAATTTAAAAAAGTTATTTATATAACGATAGATAGTCTAAAGATTTTTATTACATTTTACACTATATATATATATAAATTTTTATTGGATATATTATCGTTATTAAATATAAAATTTTGATCAGTCACGGGGAACTGTTCCCGTAACCCGTACTGTATCGGTATTAAAACAAGTTTTCTGAAATATTAAAAAAAAAAATGAATCAGGTTTTTAAAAAAACAATAAGATACTTGGATTTTTGTTTTATGGCGTTGAAGGGAATATTACTTCTTTTGCCTGATATTTAAATGTATGAAATTGTCCGAATTCGTGTATTTCCTTCAAGATACATCACTATTGTGACGAATTTGCTTTTCGTTTAACGGAAATCCGTGTATTTCCTTCAAGATATATCATTATTGCGACGGATTTGCTTTTCGTTTAATGGAATTACATTTGGTTGTTTTAAATTTGGATAAATGTAAGTTTTTATAAAGCCTTCTTGCATCTCATTTGAGTTTTCTTCTAGAGACTTGCATTTCGTTTCCGGAATCATAAAAGAAAATAGAAACCCAATGAAGCAAACCAATGCGAAAATTTCTAATAGACGATCGAAGAACATATTTTTTCCGCCAATGTCTTTAAGTAATAAGACCATTACTTGTGATAGGAGTGCACCAATTTTTCCACTAGCAGCTGATATACCGTGGCCCAAACAGCGATAACGGGTTGGAAACACTTCACCAGGTACTATGAAAGTAGTTGTATTTGGGCCGAAGTTTGTGAAGAACTATTATTATAAAACAAGGGAAAAGATAGTAGAATTGTTATATATGTTGCAAAAAAAAAAAATGCGGTGCTATTATTCTCATAAATCTGAGATAAAAAATATAATTTCTTCGGCCTTGTTCTAAGAATCAAACCTTCGGAAACTATGTCGCTGACTTTGTTCGGAAACAGCACCATAATTTCCGAAAAGTTAGGTTATTTTAAGGCAAGACAGAAAAGGTTTCAGGAGAATGCGATTTTTTACAGCTATTCTTATAAATTCTGGACCAACTAAAAATTTGTCCGTTTCACGAAATCTCTTCGGAGACAGATGTAATTTCCGACGAGTTAGATAATTCATAGGACCGAAGAGACTTCGAGAAACGAACGTTTAGCTTGTTTCGGAACCTATGAAGAATGATTGTAATCTTTCCGACTTTATACGACAGTCATAAGTCGACTAAAGCAGCTAATATAAATATTCAGATTGCTAATTATTATATCTAAGCTAGGTTTGATTGACACTACCAGAATACTATAAATCATGAGTTTCTCGAAAGTTACTGCCGTGTTTGACACCCAACGGTCAATGTTCAAATAACACCACAGGTGTAATTTCGAATTTCAGCTTAATTTTGTCCTTTATTCGCACGCCCGTTATTTCACTATATGTTCCGGCGTTCAACTCATTGTGGCAGTTACTGTAGCGATCAGGCGTAACGCAAAATCAAAACCAAAAAGCTGCTTTTTTTCAAAATTTTAATTTTGAAACCATCATTTACGTTCTAACGAAAAAAAAAAAAAAAAAAAAAAAAAAAAAATTCCTTGCGAAATTTTGGTACAAACTATGTCCTTCCCCTACTTAATCGCAGGGTTGTGAGAAGTTTGTTTTGATAGTTACGTTACACCTGACCTTAGTTACGGTTACAAATCAATCAATTTAAAACCAGACAGCACATCTAGTTTAACGTATATCAGACAGTTTTTGAAACTTGTTTTCAATGAGTTGATAGGTATTGAATTGCTGTTTACATGTCTGGTATATATAGACACCATTGCAACACTCATGTATATATGAAGACATACATACCATCGATAATATGAAAAGGGCTACAAATATGGCCTGGTATTCTTTGGTAATAATCGTATACGAGAATCCAATGACCAGATAAAGAATTGTCAGGACCGCAAATCCCATTAATTGGATGAATCTTCGTCCCAATCTATCGATTAACAAAAAACTACACCAATATCCTGGTATCGTTCCTAACAGTGTCACAACTACATTACCCAGGGCAAGATGAAATAAATTTAGATACGGATCTTGAGACGTCGATATGTTTGTTGTTGCATTCATGATGATTCCTTAATTTAAGAACGGTAATAACCACTTAATACAAATAAGTTAGCGATTAAAATATTCGTCTATTTCATTTCTTACCTTGATTAAAACTAATGCCATAGAAAGCCACATCTATGGCAAACCATGTGGCACAGGTACTAAGTAGGATTTTTCCATTGCGCCATTTTCCAAAGTACTCTGTTCGATAAATTATTTAAATATAAATCGATACAACTGATTTTTGGGTCATTTGCTAGGAAAATCACTGTTTGAAAGAAAGTGCCAAACAGAGCAAATGACCCATTTATTTTTCGATAATTACCTCGGAAATCCTTCCACGAAGCTTTTGGCGTTCCAACCAAATAAAACGCTTCAAATTTATCATCCTTTGTATAACTACCGTTGTTGATAAGGATGTCTACACTTTTGGCACCTTTATCAATATTCCCAAGCACATCCATCGTAAAACGGGGTGATTCAGGGTTCGTTACCCTGAAATAGAGAACCCCGAGGGCTGGAATAGCGCCGACTCCAACGACGATTCTAAATAATCCAATGAAGTTTATGTTCAAAATAAAAACTTAACCTGGTTTAAATCTATTATCGTTATAAGGTAACATCTCCGTCAAAGTTTCCAGAAGCGCATTTCGGTCAGGGACCGACAAAAATTTGGAACCAAATCAATCCAAATTTTTCAAAAATTTTAAACAAATTCAAATTTTTAGTTTTAACAATAGTATCTATAAATAAAAAAAGCATTTATTTAAAATCGCTTGTATTCACGTGAAATTAGCTATGAGGTGATGCAAAAATTGCCAAAACTCGGATCATTAATAGTCATGTGACATGGCCTAAATTATAAGTTAATTTCGTAATGCTGGCCAAAATCCAAATTTTTTACGTTATTCAAATAAATTTTTGCCAAAGTCCTTGATTTCGATGTTACACTAGCACGCGCTTACATGATTTTGGCCAAAATTACAATGTAATTTTGGTCAAAATTATGTGAGCACGTGGCTAGTGTAACATTGAAATGCGTTTCTGGAAATTTTGCCGGAGGTGTTATAATAGATTTAAACCCTTAATCTCAATGGGGAATGGATTAGGGAAACCCCTACGTGAAAGCAGGTGTCAGACGGTAGTTTCCTTAGCCCATTCCCCAAATAAATTTTCATACCTCCAAACATGGTCGAGATAACGAACATCCTCTCTAATACGAGATTCGTAGACCTTTAGAGTAAGCATCGTAATCAACCCTGCGAATAAAATACCGAATCCTTGCATTGCGAATACTAATGACATCATCGCCCCACGCCTTTTCTTCGTTGCAAATTCGCTAGTAATGACTTAAAATAGAAAGATTGTAAAAATTGATTTCTTTTCAATCTGCACTTACCGTAAGTTTTCGAAATAGCGGGCATGGGCGTTATTTCGAAATCATGCCACTAAAACTAGCATATGTGAATTCCAAATAATGCCCATGCGCGTCCTGAAATAACGCACATCCCACTATTATTATTTTTTAAGAAAACCAGGTTCAAAAATAGGGATGTTAAAAAGTCTGACCGGTTCTTAAAAGTCCGGGTCTAACACAGCAGTTTAATATACAATATAGATAATTTATACTTGTTATTGTATGGGTATGGGTATGTAGTGAATAACCGTGGCCGAAGGCCACGGGTTATTCATATACCCATACAATAACTATATTATTTCA